AAGGCAAGCTGGGTTTATACAAGACATGATCAGGAATGTTAGCTAACCACCAACAATTTCAACCTGTGTGAGATTATTTTGTTCATTAACTCCTAAAATGCCATGCCCCGATGTTACATTTTCCTCTGTGAGGACATTCTGCGTTGGGCAACAAATGCTCACCTTGCCAATGATGCTCATATTGCACAAAATAATTGAAAAAGGGAATTTTTCAAAATGTACACCTGTGATGAAGGAAATTGAAAATGGAAGATGTAGATTGGGCTGTTATAATGATCCAGGATCTGACTGTGATCCTAAGCTTTTTGTCACATATGTGTTATTTTAATTTCCTGACCCTCTCCCACCCTGACCTCTCTATGCATAGCCTCTTGCATTTTTCTAAAAAAGCTAAACATAAGATCTGGGAACAGCACAACAATTTTTGATAAGCACATTACAACCTGTTGAATTCTACATTGAAATCACATTATAAGCACTGCACCATTTAGTTTTGGATGGTTGACAACGTGATTCTGCTTTTCGCTGAGCTTAAGTGACACACAATGTGGTAATCCAATCTGCAATTGGTCTCCACACCGTAGAGAAGACCACGCTGTGAACAGAGAATATGGTATTCTAAATTGAAAGAAATGTAATTATGTGCAAATAAGGATATGGAGTAGACCATCAGTCCCTTGAGCATGCTCTGCCATTCAATAACATCATGGCGAATCTGATTTTTCCCTCCAATCTGTGTTCCTGCCTATACCTGATAACCTTTCACCTCATTACAAGAATCTACCTACCTCTGCCTGAAAAAAATTTCAAGAACTCTGTTTCCACCGCCTTTTCAGGAAGAGAGTTCCAAAGACGCATGACCCTCTGACAAAAAAAATTTAATCTCATCTCTGTTTTAAATGGTTAACCCCTGATTTTTAAACAGTGACCCCTAGTTCTAGATTCTCTCATAAGAGGAAACACCATCTTCAAATCTACCCTGTCAAGATTCCTCAGGAATCTTATGGTTCAATCAAGTTGTCTCTTACTCTTGTAAATTCCAGTCAATGCAAGCCTACTCTGTCAACTCTTTCCCCATTAGCCAACACATTCCAAGTATTAATCTGATGAACTTTCTTTAAGCTATTTATAATGCATTTACATCCTTCCTTAAATTAGGAGACCAATGCAGTGCACAGTACTCCAGACGTGGTCCCACCAGGGCCCCGTACAACTAAGTGTCACCTTCCTACTTTTGTGTTCAATACCCCTAACTATAAATGGTAATATTTTATAGCTTTTCTGATTCCTTGCTGTACCTGCACACTAACCTTAAATGATTCATCAACTAGGACAATCCAGGTCCCTTTGCACCTCAGAGCTCTGCATCTTCTCATCATTTAGATAATACATTTATTTTTAATTATTCCTGCCAAAATAGACAATTTCACATTTTCTCACATTATGTATTGTTTGCCGGATCTTTGCACATTACCTAACCTATTTATAAATCTTTAGCCTCCTTACGTCATACTTTCTTACCTATCTCTGTATTGTCAGCAAATTTGGGAACAATACTTTCTGTCCCTTCATCCAACTCATTTGTATAATTTGTAGACAGTGAAGGTCCCAGCACTGATTCCTGTGGCACATCACTCAGTACATTTAATACATCATTAAATACATTCAAATTACATTTAATTTACAAAAGAAAGCCTTACAAAATCTTTACACATTTATGCCTACCGTCTGCTTCCCGTTGGCCAGCGAATCTTCTCGCTATAATAATGTGCTATCCTCTACTCCATGAGCTATTATTTTCTTTAATAACCTTAGATATGGCAACTTATCAAATGTCATTTGGAAATTTAATTCCAGTGCATTCTTATGGTTCCCCTTTATTCACAGCATGTTTTATGCCCTCAAAGAATTCAAATAGGTTGGTCAGACATGATTTCCCTTTCAAAAAACCATGTTGACCCTGCAGATTACCTAGGCATCCTGTTATAACTTCTTTAATAATAGCTTCTAACATTTTCCCTATGAAATGTTAAGATAATGGGATTGTAGTAGTTGCAAAGTTAAAACTAGTGTATTATTTCTTTCAGTAGCCACTTGTTTTAAGACCCTGGGATATAATACCTCAGCAAACGGGGATATGTCAGCCCACAGCTCCAACAGTTTACTCAGTACCACTTCTTGGGTAATTGTGATTTTCCTGAATCTACCCCTCCTTTCTATTTCCAAATTTATAGCTGCTTTTGGGATGTTATTTGTATACTCTCTTGTGAAGACTGAAGTAAAATACCTGTTCAATTTATTTGCCATTTCCTTATTTTTCATTATTAATTCTCCAAACACAGTTTCTATAGGACCAGTATTCACTTTCCTAACTTCTTCTTTTTCCAAATATTTATAGAAATGCTTATCAACTGTTTTTATATTTGTGGCTAGCTTTCTCTCATACAATAATTTCCCACCTTATTAATGTATTTGTCATTCTTTGCTGTGTTTTGTATACTACCTAAACCTCTGACCTGCCACTTGCACAATTATATACTTTCTCTTTAAGTTTGATACTTTATCTAACCTTTCCAATTAAACAGAAATGGTGAGTCTGAACATTGAATTTTGTTTTATTCCATAGAATGTATATATTCCATGTATTCTAAAAGATAATCTGTAACACCTGCCATTGCATCTCTGTTGACTTATCTGTTAATTTGCCTCAACTTGGTTTCATGCCCTCATAATTGTTCTTATTACATTATAAAATGGAACAGACTCACACCCACTCCTCTCTCCCTCAAACTGAACATAAAATTTAATTTTATTATATTTGGTGCTACCCAAAGGTGCCTTCATTACAAGATCATAAATTAATTCTACCTCAGTGCACAATACCATGTCCAGTGCAGCCTGCTTTCTGGTTGGTTCCATAACATGCTGTTGTGAGAAACTATCCCAAGATAATTCTATTAGCTCCTCTGCTAGACTACATTTGCCAGCCAGCTTGGAGTCAGTCCCCTAAACTGAGGAGATTCTAAGTCCCCTGTTTATATTGGTCAGCCAGGGCTTCTTGCTTGGCCCAGGTTAACAACCCCAATCAAGGATCTCATAGTGAATGAGGCCCACCTGGTTCCAATCATGACACCAGTCTATATATACATTTAAATCTTCTCATGATTAATGCTGTTAGTGACTTTGTGAAAAGCTCTCATTTCTTACTTTATGCTCCACCCTATTATGTAGTGACCATTAGGGGTGTTGTACACCACTCCCACAGTGTCTTCTTGCCTTCATCATTTGTCATCTTTACCTAAGCTGTCTCAATAGCCTGATTTCCTAAGCTTAGGTCATCCCACTTTATTCTGTGAATAGTATCATTAACTAACAGGGCCGCCCTTCACTTTTGTTTTAGTTTCCTAGCTAATGTCTGAGTATCCTTCCTAAGTGCCCTATTGTCCGGTATGCTTCAGGGTTTCAGGTCCCAATTCATGTCATCCTGCACAGATGTGTCTATAATGGTAACCAGATCATACTTAACTGTTTTTATCTGCACTCAGTTTATTTCTCAGTTTTGTTTTAAATGCTACATGCATTCAGATACAGAGCCTTTAGTTTTATACTTGTATTATTTTTGTAAAGTTTAATCTATTCTTAGTTAGTTGATTTACTCTTAGATTTATGTTGTAGATCTATTCATCATTTCCCATATTAATACTTTCTCTTTGTTCTTGACTCTATGCTTTGCATTTATGAAGTGCATCACTTTCAGCTGGAAGGAGTGCTCGAGACCTTGGAAAGGGGAGAAGCAAAATAGTAGGTTTTATATGCCCAGCACTTGCATGAGAAGGTATTTTAGGAAAGTGATGGGCTGATAATAATTGAGAAGTGTACAAGGATCACTCCTTTACAGAGTGATACTTTGGGAATGCTGAAAAAGGAAGGAAGGGGAAGATGCCAGTTCACTACACTGCCTGAGCTGCTCCTCACGATGAAGATTGCTGCCCCAATCACTGTAAATGTTGGAAACCATAGACCTGCTTGTTCTAGTTTGGTCAAGGAAAACCACTTCCTGGTCTAACTAGAAGAGTCTCTTGTAGTTAATAAGACAGAGTTCATTGCATGTTACCAACTAGTTACAGGTTACGTTGATGTGATAGACATTGTTACAAAGACTCTGAGGTGGACCAGACAGCAGGTCCCCCTTGTTCAAGATCCTAAGATGTTCTGCCCATAGGCCCATATGACATCATCATAATGGGTGAAGCTGATAGAACTTCTCAGTATTTTGGGCCTATATACAACAATATCTTTGGCAGCATCTACTAGAAGTAGCAATGATGGTAGAAGGCCATTTGCTGAATATGGAGGCTAGTGAGTTGGAAGGTGATGACAAGGGGTCACTATAATGGTTCTAGGCAACGCGTGAGGGCAGAATTGGAGGAATCATTATTCCTAAAATGTTAACTTTGTTTCTTCCTTCACACGTTGTACGTCTTGCTATTTTTAGTTTGCTTAAACATTAGATCACTTGATTAGTAGACATTCCAAATGTTTCTTTTGCTACACATAATAAAAATATACTTACATTGTGCTCGTACTTCTGTAATATTGGTAACCTTTATACAATTTATATTAATTATAAGTGTTCTATATCCACAAAGGTGATGCATTTACAAATTGTATTTATTGCTGTAAACTGAATAATATTGTTGTGCTTTACAGCAAACTAAATTCTGTGTTTAGCTGCCAGACAGGTTCTACATGAGTTTGCCCTCGCATTCATCATCACTAATGTTACTTTTTAAAATTACTTTCCATCCAAAACACAGGAAAGTGAAACTGAGAAAAACATGAAAACATACTTGTGTTTTATTTAAAAGTATCATAAAGCATGTTAATACTTCTAAGGGGAAAATTTGTGGCTGATCAGTTATTTAATTGTCTTCTGTGATACAGTAAGGAGTTTTTAGAGAACTTGACTAATCAGTCACTGGGTTGTTCTTTTTCCATAGTTTCCATGGGGCTTGGATACAGGGAGGAGTCCTGCTATCTCATTGGTGGATAATAAGGAACCAATAAAGTATACTCTTTGTAGACCAGCCTGCCTTCTGAAGATTAAACTGAAGCCCTGTTTCTATAGTAAATTCTTATCTATAAAAGTTGGAGCTTGTGAAAGAACTTTTGACCGGCAATATGTGTATGTTTATCTTACAAATAGATTGGCACGACCCACTAGATTGACCCACGTCTGGTATCTGATACACTTTGTACAAATGGGCGCAGCTCTGAACTCAAAGAAATTACAATTAATCAGCATGAACATTGTTGTGTCTAAAAAGCGGTAATCCAAGGCACTGACATGCTTGACTAAAATTCTCTTATGATGTACCCTGGCTTTGCATATAGTCACTTACATAAGACATGGTTTTGCTGGAAAATCAAGAAGATTTCGTACACTGAAGTTTGCTAAGACTGGAAAGTTGTGTTCAAGTAAATAAAGTTATAGTCTGACATTGGAACTTGCCTGCCAATGCTGAGTCCTCTTCATATTGTTCACTGGGATTGCTGAATGTAAAGGAGTGGTCAAACACTGAGGAGGATTTTTGCCCCCTTATGAGATTGAATATGGAGGTGGGCTGGTATGAAAATGTGCCTAGACTATCCTTCTCCCAGACTATTTCCCCATGGGTGACCAATTATGGGAAAGGAAAGGAAAGGACAATTAAGGCCTATCAGAGAGTGGCTGGAATTTTCAATGAGCCTATGGACCATTGAGGTGCCGGGAACTAGACTATCAACCTAGAGGCTACCTTCCATGCAGTGCCAGACTGCGGGTGCCAACAGTCCACTCAGGCTTTGAGGCCTTCCCGACTTGCCTATTATACCACCGCTGAGAACACAGGCCGCTCTCTCAATGGCATCCCCGAGGCCATTTTTAACTCAGCAATTTGACAAATACTTGTTTTATAAAGGCTGATTTTTCACCACGTGGATCCCAATCATCTTTTATTTTAAGAAATTCTTCTTACAAAAGGTTCTTTAATTTGAAAAAAAATTATTGACCCCTGGCTTAGGTCCTAGGTAGCAGAAGGAATTGCTACCAATGGTGTAATGATTAAAAATCAAGAATGCTCAAGAGGACAGAATTGATGGAGTATAAATCTCTCAGAGGGTTGTAGAGCTGAAGAAGTTTACAGGGAAGGGAAAACTATGACCACAGAGGGTTTTTACAATGAAAATTTTAAAATCAAAATGTTCCTTAACTGGGAGACAACAGTAGGCCTGACAGCGCAAGGGTTTTTGCTAAATTGGATTTGGTGCAATTAGGACATTAACAGCAGATTTCTGGATGACCTCAAGTTTATTTAGGGTTGAAGTGGGAATGGCCAGGACCACAATGGAACTGCAGTGAGTACATGAATGGGTAAGAGCAGCGTTGTGAGACGGGGTGCATACTTAATGAGGAGAATTGCATGAGAAAAATTGGCATGGTTCACAGAGGGAAACCCTCCATGACATTAGGTCAAAATATGAGGTAATTCATTAGAATGTCTTGAATCTTTCCCAGACCATTGATCAATTCCTCCAACAAAATGCAAACTCACTCATAATAAGGGACTCTGGCACCCAAATTACAGGATTGGTAAGAGAATTTCATAATGGCTTTGCTCAGGGGCTCTCATCAAACTATGACCAGATTTTCAGGTGCAACAAGAAGTCATTATATGACATAGAAGTACAACTTTTTAAAAGCATATAGACATAAAGATGTCCTTTTGAGATCTGCTCTCTTTTTGTCTGTTTATTCTAATTTCACTTTTTGACATCAGGATAAGCCGCATTTAAAAATTGCAAAGTTTCCCAATTGCCAAGTACATAAACGACTGTTTCTGATGGCCATAAATGAATGCTGAATGATTTGAAACATTAATTTGTATACTCAAATGAATATGGTGTAAATTTGTCTCCTTTTGTGCTGTTGCTTGTGCTGATTTATAATTGTTTTTATTCCAACATTTTCTCATGCGATGTGAACTTCCAGTGTAACTTGGCATTGACAGAATGGCAAGTAATTGGGACTCTTTTCAGTCAATCTTCACCTGTGGAGTTAATTTCAGGGTCCAATTTGCACAAGCACTCAAGAAACCAGTTGGATCATTAAGGTACCATATTTGATCAGAAGACAAAATAATGATTTAAACCACAGCAGAAAACAATTCCACCCAAGCGATGAAAGGATGAAATCCACTTTTCTCAATTTTCCATAAACATTACAATACCTATTTTTAGAACAAACTCCTTCCTCTTTTGAAGGCGTAGGCTCTTCTCTGATGACACAGCAAAGTGTTTGTTTTTCTATAAAATTGATTCCTGCTTAGTCTAGTCATTTATATTCCAATCTGGGAGAATCACAGCTGAAATAAGATTATCTTTAAGTGAAATGTACAAGTTCACTTGAACATTGTAACTCTTCAGTTGAATTTTATTTCCCCTTCCTAAACTCTGGGCACCAAAACCAATAGTATTACCTTCCAATACTGTTCCAAGGAGAAAATGTAACTCCACGTGGAGCAGGAACTGAACCAGAAACTTGCTTATTCCATTTCGGTCTCTGACCAGCCATCATTCCAGCTGTGCCACGGGTAAAGCATTTTTTTCAAAAAAATGATTTAACGTGTGAGCTATCAATGCTGATACAGGATAGTGCTCTGATATTATTTCCTCCCATTAAAGAACATCGTAATTCACTCCCAAATAAACTGCCTCGGACATGGAAGTGGATATGATAGATTGTGTGGATGGACAGAATTGTCGATGGAACATGCATAATATTTAACAAAACGACCATGAATTCAGGCAATGGTGTCCCTTCTAAACTTCATCCAACTGAAAGCTACCCAGACGGTAGGAGCCAAGATTAATTCTGAGCACGGAAAACTATTTAAGGGAGGTCATACTGGGCCAGCAACAGAAGTCAGGGTTTATATAGGCAATAGGAAGAATGATTTGGGAGTTGATATCACATGCAATTGCCAGGATAAGTAAGTTATTTCAGTGGTAAATTTCTGCTTGGCTCAGAGGAAAGTTCACCTATTGAATTTGAGCTGAGGTGAATGCTGAAACAGTATTTACAAAAAAAAGCGAACTTTTCTACCTTTGCCAGACTGATTGTATAAAAAATTCTATTGAGTCATTCCCTTAAACTCTGCTTTTTATGTGAAATATTGAAGGCTACTCAACCTTTGTTGAGAGTATTGTGGTATAAATGGCCAGCCAGACACACATTTATATAACATCTAAACCAGAACATGTAGATTGATACAGGACCTTTAACATGAGAAAACACCCAAGGTGCTTCATTGAAGGATTATGAAACAAAACATGATGCCAAGCCACATGAAGAGATACAAGATCAAATGTCTAAAGGTAATTACAGAAGTAGATTTTCAGGAATGTCTTGATGGAGGGAAGTGAGTTAGAGAGGTGGAAAGGCATATGGAAGGAATTCCTGAGCTCAGGACTGAGGTAACTGAACATGCAGCCAATGATGAAACAATTAAATTCGAGGGTTCTCAAGAGACCAAATTTAACTGGATGCAGACATCTCAGAGTATTGTAGGTGTGGAAGAGGTTACAGAGATAAGGAAGGATAGGTCTATAGGGGAATTTGAAAACACAGCTGCAAATTTTAAAATCAAGGCATTGCTTGACTGGGAGCCAATGTAAGTCAGCAAGCATGGGGTGGTTGCTGAATAGGATTTATTGTAAATTTAGACACAGGCAGTAGAGTTTTGGATGACCTTAACGCTGCAATGAGTAAAATTGGAAAGTGAAGGCAGATGTTTTTTTTTCTTTATTCATTTACAGGATGAGGGCGTCGTTGGCCAGGCAGCATTTATTGCCCACCCCTAATTGCCCAGAGGGCATTTGAAAGTCAACCACATTGCTGTGGGCCTGGAGTCACATGTAGGCCAGACTGGGTAAGGATGGCAGTGTCCTTCCCTAAAGGACATTAGTGAACCAGATGGGTTTTTCCGACAATCAACAATGGATTCATGGTCATCATTGGAATTGTCAAGTCTCAAGATAACAAAGCATTATTGTGAGTTTCAGCAGCAGACTGGTCAAAATGAGGCCATGTCTGGCAAAGTTATTCTGGTTGAGATAGGTGTATGTGGTTGGAAGCCAACTATGTGCATTAAATGTGACAACAACTCAAACATATATAGCTGTATAAATCCTATGATGTAGCATGCAATTTCAAAAAGAAATAAATATGGAAGTCATATTATATCCCACAAACATTATTAGAGCTAAGTTCACAAAATTAGTAGAATCATAGAATCCTATAGTGTGGAAGCAAGCCATTTGGCTTTTTGAGTCCACACTGGTCCTCCAAGAGCATCCCCCCAGAGACACCTCCCTACCCTATCCCCATAACATATCCCTAGACACTATGGGCAACTTAGCATGATGAATTCACTTTACTTGCACATCTTTGGACTATAGGAGGAAACTAGATCTTCTGGAGGAAATGCACACTGACAAGGGGAGAATGTGCAAAGTCCACACAGACAATCACCCAAGAGTGGAATTGAACCCAGGTCCCTGGCACTGTGAGGCAGCAGTGCTAACCACTGAGCCACCTTTCTGCCCCAAATGTCTTGATACTTCTTGATATAAAGAGATGGAAACCAGTCAATCAAGCCAGGCATCAAGAAACTTGTATCTCCTATTTTAATTTATACTTACATGAGAAGTTGCACACATTGGAGATGAAAGGGCTGCCTGCAAATATCCTGCTTGGAGAGACAATGGAGGCAGACTCAAGAACACACAAATCAACCTTATTTCAGTAGCTACTTGGCAGAACAGCAGAGAGAGGAGAAAAGAAAAATAGATTTGTAAAGGACTGGAAGACTCTTTCTTTTTCTCTCTGTTTATTTCTCCCTGACTCATCCTCAATATTTCAAAAGCCAACACTGGTGATAAAACAAATCAGAAACAAATCTATCACTAATAACTCAAGGATCCTGTAAATTTTTTTATTGCTGCAGAGATATGACTTTAACTAAACAGCCACAGCCCTAGGTTCAGCTAGAACAACTGAAGGACTCTAAGAATGTTTCAACCTACATATTCTGTATCTTCCTACTTTATTAGACACTTTCCCTTCTTAAACGTTATACCTGTTTTTTTGCTAAAGTTTGAAGTCATGTTTTATTATATCTCTCTGGATTAGTAAGTAATAAATTTACCTTTATTTCACTCAAGAAAACTTTGTAATTGTCTCCTTAATTTTGACTAGTAATACATTCTAATTTAAATATGATATAGCTGCACGTTAAAAAGAATTTAAATACTTACTGCAATCAAACGAGGGAGTTAAAAAGAGAAGAGTCAATTCACCCCCTCTCCCTGGAAATAAATTTGATACATTAATAATGGGGCTAACAAAATTTGATATGAAGTATATTTCATTATAAGGCGCAGTACTTCATCTGACTTTGTATTG